GTCGGAAGAAAAGGAATGATTTGTTAGAAAAAAAAAAGCAAGTTTGTTAAAAAAAAAAAGAAGGAACAATCCATCAATGTGGATCCATAGGGATAACTTTAAAGTGTCATGTTATCACCATTACCAGTTGTAATCAACTATTCAGGCAAGTATGATTGCTCTATTGGGGATATGAAAAAAAAAAAATGTAAACTTGGCTTCAAATTTTCAACTAAATTAATCATTGAAAATGCAAGTTTTTTCCGTCGTACAATAAAATTTCTTTTACGACTTTTATGCAAACAAAGGCTTTTATATAAATATACAAAGTTAACCAATTTCAATTTGGTAAAAAATTATTATTTATTTGATTTCGAATAACCTCGATTATTATTTGATTTCGAATTACAATTACTGACACAATGACATTTTGGTATTAGTAGCAGTTAATAAGTAGAAATTATCATTGCAAAATATTTACTTGATGTAAATTCAAGTCATAATCGTTCCTTGATGAACCTTTCAACACTTTTTTACTACTTCATTTTGAATAAAAACTTTTCCCATATTCGATATTTGATTGGCCTTTAATTCAGGAAAACTAATTTCAAACTTGATCGTTTCCCATCAATTTTCAAAAGATTTGCTTCCGATGATTAAAATTAAATAATAATTTCTTCATTTAAAAAAAATCAATATAATGTATTACTTTGTTGAAAGTTTATGCTAAAATGCAATTCATCATAAGTTATTTAGATTATTAAAGGCATTTCTTTGTAGAATCTTTTTAACAATTAATTATTATAACACTTTAAACTACAAAATAATCCAGTGAAAAAAATCAGATTGAATTAAATTTCATTATGATATGTTTGAAAAGAGCATTTAGGCAAACTTGAATAACGTTACAATTGTTAGAAGGCTTAATTTCATCTAAAAAATTTTGTAAAACTTTCTGAGTGACGATGTCATTCAGACTTCAGAATTAAATATCAAAAGTATACTTTCATAATTGATAGGATAAATTGAAACAGAAACAGTGAACAGGAAAGAGTATGACGAAAGAAACGTTTCCAGAACTAAGTATGCAAAAGAAATCCTGAGTTCAATATATAATTCATTAGTTAGGTAATTAATGAAACAATACGACTTGTCCGTTTAATTAATTAGCTGGTATTGTTCCGGAAAAGAAGGAAAAGAAAAACATAGGTATGCTTATATTTGACTATAGTTGAACTCTTTTTATTGCTGTTATAAGTAATGAGAAACAATTAACCTTCCATCATATTCACCACATCGATTGTTTTATAAATGATAATGAAGTTAGCTAATTATTTAACATTTGGGCTTATAAATTGTATGCGCATTTTAACATATTAAAATTCTTGATCATTGTCATTTTCGTAACAATTCATTGTTATTGTGGTATTTACAAATGTCGCATAATCAGCTGACTGTCAATTAATTAATATACACTAGGAAGTGATTGGGAAATTAATGCTTTAACGGATAATTTTGTTGAGTTATAGAGAGGGCATTTTTCGATAGAAAAACAACAGGTAAAATTATATTTGATAAAGCATTTTAAATTGTTACATTCTTTATTATATCTGTGATAAATCTTTTTTTCGCATTAATTTCTTAGGTATGAATAATAATTACATTTTAAAATTAAATTATATTTTTTTGATATTTCTAAATTTAACCAAACTAAAATAAAACTTTCTACTTTTTCCTTAAAGAATTTTATTAAAATTTAGTTTTCTTTTCTTTCTTTTTTATTTTATTAAAAAAGTAACCAAAATCATTAAGATTATTGGAAATATAAAACATTTTCAGAATTCTGAGGAAAAATTTTCTTGCTGAAAAAAAAAGAAAAAAATATTTCTATGCTATATGCTAATTAAAATATTGTTTGGTTAATTTTCTAAAAAGAGAAAGATTTTTTCCTTTTTTTTTCTTCTAAAAATTGACATTATTTTCTAAGGATTTCTGTAGACATAATTATTAAAGGAATGAGAACGGTAAATTATAATTTCTTTTGCGCCAATATGCTATTTTAAAATTTAATCTTAGCTTAGTTTGAAATGACACTTGAATGACACATTCTTTCGTCACATCGTTTTAATCCCAAATGAATGCGTCGGTTAAATCTGTTTTAAATTGGATTATAGCTATGTAACTGTCAATTTCAAATAATTTGTTCCTTTCGGTGTGCATTTCATAATGTTTAAACCAAAAAATGGAACTTTTATATTTTCTCATTTTTTCAAATTTTTAAAAAAAAAGAAAAGATTTTAACGATAAAACTAACATTTGGGAAAAATATTTTTTCAATAACTTCTCTTTACTATAGCTCTCCACAAAAAAGGGGAAAAAATCTCTCAGTAGGTCTTTTTTTCCCCTTCTCTCTTTATCATCGCATATTCCGTAAATTAGGAATAAATTAGTACGAAAAAAGTTTTTTTTTCTTTTTTCCTTAACAGGAAGAACTTTGTCGTCGTACTTTTCATAAATTTAGGAATAAA